TCGGATGTCTAGGACAAAACGTCCAAAATGCATATGGAATGCTGGTGGCGATGGCAGGGCTGTGTCACGTCGCGGTGGCAGCTTTAATTAAGGCTAAATGGCGCTGGTCGTATTTTACCCGACACCCACGCAGGAGGCACTTCTGAACTCCAATCCTTTTAAGCAAGCAGGCTGCGACTCTCAGCCGGAGAAACTCAGCGACTTCCCAGAGCTTTCAGGCTGATGGTGAGATTTCCCTCTGGGGTTGCCAACAGAGCTTGTGGTGCCTGGGCGAGGGCTCTCTGCTTAATTCCCCTGCAAATGTCATTGCTCTGGAATCGTGGCATCTGTCCTCTGCCCCATTTGAGGGACTGGTCCCCTCTTTCAGGGCACGACTGAGAGCCAAGGATCCCCTGTGTAAACTCAAATCTTTGCTCTTTTTTAAGAATATTTTTTATTAAATTTCAACAGAAATAACAAAAATAAAAAAACAAACAACAGCAAACACAACAACAACCACAAGCAAAGGAAAATATACACAAAAGCAATATCAAATCCATAAAATGGGATTCTCCGAATCCCTTGACTTCCCTTCCCGGTTCCTTAAATTTCCTTTTCAACTGCATATCATTTCTACTCCAAATTATTTTCCTACCTCAACTTTCCTGTATTATTTCTAAAATTACAAGTATTCTTCAAATCCTGCCGGTGTATTAACCTGTTTTCAATACTTGAGAGCCAAGGACCCCCAGTGTAAGCTCAAATCTTTGCTCTTAGGCCTGTCCCATTAAATCCCCCAGGGGGAGAAATGTAGTTTGGTCCACTGTGTGTCTCTCCCCTGCCAGAAATGTTCTGTGTAGAACATCTTTCTTGGGGCAGGCAAATGCTGGCAGCTCACCTGCCCAAAACCACCTTCGTATTTTAAGAGTAGGGAAGGAAAGCAAGAAACAGGGGAAAGAAGGATGAACCCAAAAAGCCCCCGCAAGGTTACTGGACAAGATGAGAGTTTTTTATGTGGTCTAGAATTCAAACAACATAAAAAGGAGAAGGAAGTGAATTTAGTGGTAAGCAGAAAAAAGAATGTCCTGGTAGGAGTTTTGGGGTGGTCAGTCTGGATGAGATCCTTCCAGGCCTGTGATCCTGTATCCCACATATTAAGAAGAGCCTGCTGGATTTTGGGAATGTTCAGGGTGACACACAGTGGGCCAAATAACCGCTTGGAGATTGGGGGTGGCGTATGATAATATAGTAGTTTCAGATTTGTAGAAATCCAGTGGAACTCCCTCCCACAGGAGACAATGATGGCCACCAACTTGGATGGCTTTAAACGAGGATCGGCCAGATTCATGGAGGAGGAGAGGGCTATCTCTTCCCACTGCACATTAGGAAGAACTTTCTGAGGGTTTAGCAGTGGAACAGACCACCTTTGAAGGTGGTGGACTCTCCTTCCTTGGAGGTTTCTGAGCAGAGGTTGGTTGGCCAGGGCAGATTCCTGCATTGCAGGGGGCCGGACTAAGTGGCCCTCAGTGGCCCTTCCAACTCTATGATTCTAAGAGGGAGGCTGAGAATGCAGCCCCTCAAGGGAGCTGGAGACCCGTCATCTGTGGAGAGAGACATGGTCCGTATGGGACGCACAGACTCCCGCTGGCATTTGAGATTCGGATGGTGGCCTCCAATTCTGCGGACCAAGGCCAAACTGGAGGAGGGCTGAGCGCCGGAAATCAATAACAGACTCCGATGCTGCAGCCAAATAAACAAAAATCAAATCAAGCACTGCAAACAAGTTAGAGGGAGGAAAAACTCAATGAGCTGAAGGACAGGCAGAGCTGGGAGCCAAGAGGGAACAGGATCCTGCTCACGGGAGGTTTTTAAGCAGAGGTTGGATGGCCGTCGGTCAGGGTATTCTGCAGCTGAGATTCCTGTCTGTTTTTAACCTTTTAATATGGTGTTTATTGCATTTTATTGTTTATAAAATGGCAGTCATCTTTGAGAATTCCTGGAGAACAGGCGAAGTCCCGGCAGACTGGAGGAGGGCAAATGTTGTCCCTATTTTCAAAAAGGGGAAAAGAGAGGACCCAAATAATTACCGCCCAGTCAGTCTGACATCAATACCAGGGAAGATTCTGGAGCAGATCATTAAGCAAACAGTCTGTGAGCACCTAGAAAGGAATGCTGTGATCACCAATAGTCAGCATGGATTTCTGAAAAATAAGTCATGTCAGACTAACCTGATCTCGTTTTTGACAGAATTACAAGCCTGGTAGATGAAGGGAACGCAGTGGATGTAGCCTACCTTGATTTCAGCAAGGCATTTGACAAGGTGCCTCATGATATTCTTGTAAAGAAGCTGGTAAAATGCGGTCTTGACTATGCTACCACTCAGTGGATTTGTAACTGGCTGACTGACCGAACCCAAAGGGTGCTCATCAATGGTTCCTCTTCATCCTGGAGAAGAGTGACTAGTGGGGTGCCACAGGGTTCTGTCTTGGGCCCGGTCTTATTCAACATCTTTATCAACGACTTGGATGATGGACTCAAGGGCATCCTGATCAAATTTGCAGATGACACCAAACTGGGAGAGGTGGCTAACACCCCAGAGGACAGGATCACACTTCAAAACGACCTTGACAGATTAGAGAACTGGGCCAAAACAAACAAGATGAATTTTAACAGGGAGAAATGGAAAGTATTGCACTTGGGCAAAAAAAATGAGAGGTACAAATACAAGATGGGGGACACCTGGCTTGAGAGCAGTACATGTGAAAAGGATCTAGGAGTCTTGGTTGACCACAAACTTGACATGAGCCAACAGTGTGACGCGGCAGCTAAAAAAGCCAATGCAATTCTGGGCTGCATCAATAGGAGTATAGCATCTAGATCAAGGGAAGTAATAGTGCCACTGTATTCTGCTCTGGTCAGACCTCACCTGGAGTACTGGGTCCAGTTCTGGGCACCACAGTTCAAGAAGGACACTGACAAACTGGAACGTGTCCAGAGGAGGGCAACCAAAATGGTCAAAGGCCTGGAAACGATGCCTTATGAGGAACGGCTAAGGGAGCTGGGCATGTTTAGCCTGGAGAAGAGGAGGTTAAGGGGTGATATGATAGCCATGTTCCAATATATAAAAGGATGTCACAGAGAGGAGGGAGAAAGGTTGTTTTCTGCTGCTCCAGAGAAGCGGACACGGAGCAATGGATCCAAACTACAAGAAAGAAGATTCCACCTAAACATTAGGAAGAACTTCCTGACAGTAAGAGCTGTTCGACAGTGGAATTTGCTGCCAAGGAGTGTGGTGGAGGCTCCTTCTTTGGAGGTCTTTAAGCAGAGGCTTGACAACCATATATCAGGAGTGCTCTGATGCTGTTTCCTGCTTGGCAGGGGGTTGGACTCGATGGCCCTTGTGCTCTCTTCCAACTCTATGATTCTATGATTTCCTTGATGTCTGATAGGAGGGCGTTCCACAGGGTGGGTGCCACCACCAAGAAGGCCCTCTGCCTGGTTCCCGGTAACCTCACTTTTCGCAGTGAGGGAACCACGAGAAGACCCTTGGAGCTGGACCTCAGTGTCTGGGCAAAATGATGGGGTGGAGACGCTCCTTCAGGTCTACTGGGCTGATGCCGTTTAAGGCTTTCAAGGTCAGCACCAACACTTTGAATTGTGCTCAGAAATGTACTGGGAGCCAATGTAGGTCTTCCAAGACTGGTGTTATGTGGTCTTGGCAGCCGCTCCCAGTTACCAGTCTAGCTGCCACATTCTGGATTAGTTGTAGTTTCCAGGTCACCTTCAAAGGCACCCTCACGTAGAGCATGTTGCAATAGTCCAAGCATTGCAGTAGTCCAAGCTAAACTTTGAAACTTGCTCCCACAGGATGGCCATCATCTTGGGTGGCTTTAAAAGAGGTTTGGATAAATTCGTGGAGGAGGAGAGGTTTCTGGCTGGCTCCTAGCAAGGACGGTTAATAATAATAATAATAATAATAATAATAATAATAATAATAATTTAGACATTAAAAACTTCCCTAAACAGAGCTGCCTTCAAATGTCTTATAAAAGTCAGGTGGTTGTTTATTTCCTTGACATCTCATGGGAGAGCGTTCCACAGGGTGGGTGCCACCACCGAGAAGGCCCTCTGCCTGGTTCCCTGTAACCTCACTTCTCGCACTGAGCGAACCACCAGAAGGCCCTTGGAGCTGGACCTCAGTGTCTGGGCAGAACGATGGGGATGGAGATGCTCCTCCAGGTACACTCCTTCAGGTATACGCCTAGCCACAGAGGACTCTTGGGCCTTGAGTGACAGAGATATGTCTTAGAGCACCCCTGAGTGACACGCTTTCTCCTTCAGAGGGAGAGCAACTCCATCCAAAACAGGTCACTTGCCTGTCTCACGAACATGGGAACTGTGAGAGAAATTCCACTTGGGGGTTCAAGTACAGAGGTTCACACCAAATTCCTAGTCGATTTCAGCAATGCATTACTGGGCAGAGTCCAAAGAGTCTGCAAGGACATTGCCCTATATAGGACACACCCTATGGAGCCACATGCATGGCAACTCAGCTGTCTGCCCTCTACCCAACCCCCTTCTGCCACCCCAGCACCCCACCATCTCTCCTCTAACCACTTACTCAACCCATTTTTCACTGCACACAGGGGAACCCTCTTTGTGCCTTACGCTAAGGTTACCAGATTGTTTTCAATGAATCTGGGGACACTTTAAATAAATAAATAAATAAATAAATACTACACGTTCAGGACGTTGATGCTGCAGCAATAGCAGTGGCAGAGGGGTGGCTGCTGCCTTGACCTCAACCGCCACGTTTCTCATTCCTCTGAGGCTTCTATCTTCTTTTTCCATGAGCCTGAGCAGCCCCTGACTTGTTGGTTCTTTGGTGGTGGTGGTGGGGAAGCGGTGCGCAGTGGGTCAGGCATGGAAGGCGGACAAGGAGGGCCGAGAGTGGCAGCAGTGGCGAGGCTCGGGCAGAGCGATGCCTCCCTTCCCACTGGAGCAGCCCCAATCCCACTCCTACTTGCGTGCAAGCAGGAGGGGGCAGGGATCCCTCAGCTGGGAAGGGAGGCTTCCCATTGCCTAACTGAGAGATCCCTGCCCCCCTCCTGCTTGCACGCAAGCTCTGATAGGCAGCGTGAAGCCTTCCTTCACAGCTGAGTTGCTGGGGTCAGGGAAGGTGGAGGCAGCCCGGAAGCTGCGTCTTTGAGCCCCTGCACCACCATCAGATGGGGACTTCCAAGCAGCTCCTGAAGCCAGCCAGAGCCAACTGCTCCGGGCTGCTGAGAGACTGCGGCTGCTGCGTTTCCTGGGGACATTAGATGAAATCCAGGGACATTCTGGGGATGGAGTTTGTCCGGGGACTTATTCACAAATCTGGGGACTGTCCCCGGGAAACAGTGACGTCTGGTAACCTTACCTTGCACGGGGATTCTTTTCACTTTTGCAGCCAGATGTCGATTTTATTGATTCATTTGTTTCATAAAATTTACACACCGCTTGACTGCAGCAAAAAAACACACCCTCAAAGCAATTTCCAAAAAAGAGAAAACAACAAAATTTACGACCGTAATTTAAAACATACATAAAGTTAAAACCACAATAGACTAGTCTAAAATAAAATAAAATTTCTTTAACTGGTTCCTATCAGTCTTGTGGCCAGGTCTTGTATCTTGCCTATGTGTCCTGCAAATGACATGTTGCAGAAGAATATATCGAAACAAAAAAACCCAAAATCTTTCGGCTGCCACACATCTCTTTGCTGTTGCTTCTAAAGCAGGCTGTTCAGGCAACGCTTTCCCCCTGCCCCATTGCAGAAGAAGAAGAAGAAGAAGAAGAAGAAGAAGAAGAAGAAGAAGAAGAAGGAGAGTTTGGATTTGATATCCCGCTTTATCACTACCCGAAGGAGTCTCAAAGCGGCTAACATTCTCCTTTCCCTTCCTCCCCCACAACAAACACTCTGTGAGGTGAGTGGGGCTGAGAGACTTCAGAGAAGTGTGACTGGCCCAAGGTCACCCAGCAGCTGCATGTGGAGGAGCAGGGAAGCGAACCCCGTTCACCAGATTACAAGTCCACCGCTCTTAACCACTACACCACACTGGCTCTGTGTGATTTTGCACTGTGCAAAACAAAACAAAAATGAGAAATGAACCTCTTCTTCCCCTTGGGCTGGGATCTCTCTCTCTCTCTCTCTCTCTCTCTCTCTCTCTCTCTCATGCAGATGCAAAGGGCAGCTCAACTCTGGTTCAGCTCCTCTTCCTACTCCTTTCAAAACTGACATTTCCCTCCAAGATCAAAAAGTTACGGCGTTAAAAGGCTGCATACAATTGGCACAAAGCGAGAGGGAAACTGTCCTCCCGCCTTCTAAGCTGCAAGGGAGAGGCACCCCCACATCGAAAAACAATGCGATAAATACATCAAAAGGAACATGTCTTTTTAGAAATGCAGAGTTCTTCATTTCCAGCCCTCTAAACCACACACACGGGTGGCGCAGTGGGTTAAACCACAGAGCCTAGGACTTGCTGATCAGAAGGTTGGCAGTTCGAATCCTCGCGGCGGGGTGAGCTCCCGTCTTTCGGTCCCAGCTCCTGCCACCCTAGCAGTTCGAAAGCATGCCAAAGTGCAAGTAGATAAATAGGTACTGCTCCAACAGGAAGGTAAACGGCGTTTCCGTACGCTGCTCTGGTTCGCCAGAAGCGGTTTAGTCATGCTAGCCACATGACCCGGAAGCTGTACGCCGGCTCCCTCGACCAGTAAAGTGAGATGAGCGCCGCAACCCATGAGTCGGCCACGACTGGACCTAACAGTCAGGGGTCCCTTTACCCTTTACCTTTAAACCACACACAAAAAGGAACCCTTTGTGTCTTTATTAATTTTTGAGTACAGTGGTACCTTGGGTTAAGTACTTAATTCATTCCGGAGGTCCGTTCTTAACCTGAAATTTTGTTCTTAACCTGAAGCACCATTTTAGCTAATGGGGCCTCCCGCTGCCACCGCGCCGCTGGAGCACGATTTCTCTTCTCATTCTGAAGCAAAGTTCTTAACCCTGTTAACGGAAAAATCCGAGGGCTCCCTTGGACAAAAACAAAGACACCAACCAGGATAACTTGGAGCAAAACAGCAGCCTGTAGGCTTGGCTTTTATTGATCTGTTGCAACAGGGTGCTCCCTCACCCGCAGGAGAGAGGAGGGACCCAGAAAAATGGCATGCAAGGCCTTATAAAGACTTTTGAAATTGCCACCCTGTAGATCAAGACCACCCCCAGAAACATCATGCATACATCACAGAAAGGAGGGGTTGAGGGAGGAGTTGTGGAGGTAACCTGAGTGTCCTGTCACCTGGCTGGTTCCTCCTTTCCCCCCTCCCCATGAGTACTTTCCAGGTGACAGAGGGGAGTTTGCAGTTTCCTGCCCCCAGAGGGAAGAGCTGATTGTTGTCCTTTGTTCCAGTCTGTGCTGAATCCACTCCCATATGCAAGTTCTTTGTGATCTTGATGGTCTTCTGTCTAGGACCATCAGGGTTGGCATAGCAACTGGGCAGGGCTCCTGTGGATGTGCTGGTATGCTGAAGGGATTATGGCTGCCCTGTATCAAACCTTCCCCATTTTGTAGTCCTTCCTTCATGGAGTAAAATAAAAGTGGAACAGTGCAGATCCGATGTATGGTTGGTTTTCTATGAATTTATAACAGAAGCGTAGCGTATGTAGTGTGCGAGTGTGTGTGAAGTTTGTACAAACTGAATGATTGGGGGGGGGGGGGTTCCTGTGATAACCTGAGGTACTATTTCTGGGTTAGCGGAGTCTGTAACCTGAAGTGTATGTAACCGGAGGTACCACTGTATTAAGTTTCAAAATAAAATCATTGTGTGGTTCTCCCCCACCCCCATGTTGTAATGTTCATTTAGTTTTATTTCATGAGCAATATAATAATATAATAATGTGGTCTTGAAAACCTTTTATTTGTTTCTAGTAAATACCTCCTTTTTATGGCTCTTTATGTAACTTACCCCCCAATTCTCTCTCTCTCTCTCTGTGTGTGTGTGTGTGTGTGTGTGTGTAGATAATAGCTAGCTAGCTAGCTAGCTAGATGATAGGTAGATAGATAACAGTCCATTCAACAGGCTTGCAAAACAACACAGAATTCAGCTCTGGTTGATTTTAAATGAACATCTCTACCAGAACTGACATTTTTTGTCATACAAACATGCACACAGGACAGATAAAAGAAAGCGCTTCATGCAGCACATGGTTAAACTGTGGAACTCCCTCCCACAGGAGTCAGTGATGGTCACTTGGATGGTTTTAAAAGGGGATGGGGCAAATTCATGGAGGAGGAGAGGGCTATGGACGGCTTTGCTCAACTTCCACAGTTGGGGGGCAGCAATGCAGATTGCAGGGAGGGAGGGGGCTCTTGTGGTCAGATCTTGCTTTTGGGCCACTGTGAGAAGAGGATGCTGTCCTAGATGGACCACTGGCCCAAAGCAGCAGGCTCTCCTTAAATTCTTATATGCACAAACACCGAATCCGTAACCCTAATAAAAACTCCATAACACCATTGAACATCCCGGCGTTGGCACAACACGATGCTGCTGAGCTTTCCTGAGCTCCTTTCATTCTCCCCGCTCCAGCGTCACACCAAACTGGGGCATTTTCCCGATGCAGCAGGCAAGCGACGGAAGAGACAGTGTCCCAGCCGCTTAGGTGACAATTTGTTAGGGTCTCCAAACCCAGAGGAAATGGCCTGCGGATGATGGATGAAGCTGTACGGCCAAACTGCCACTCCACAGCGGAGGCATTAATCAACTGCCAAGCTCACTGAAGCCTGCAGCTGGGGGAAACCTTGAAAATGGGGACAACCCTTTCCAGGCGAACTTGCCTGCCTCCGCCACCCCTTCCTCTTGGCAAAAGACGCAGGCTGCAGAATATAGGGTCCTGTTCACGCTTAGTTGCTGAGCCGCCTCCTTAAGATCTGCACAATTCCTCTGAAGATGTCCCAAATGCCTCTACTTCTTGATGACAAAGCACCTCTGAGCATGTGCAGAGTGATGAGGACCTTTTAGAGGGGGGTTTTCAAACAGAAACAGAAAGCAAAACAGTAAACATATACAAAACATATTTATACATCACGCACAACAATTCCTAATTTTGTCACCAGTTGTGCATGTTTCTCAAAAGTTAGTGCTTTCGTAAATATATCAGCCACATTTTGCATGCTCTCACAGTATTTTAGCATTATCAGGTTTTGTTTAACATTTTCAGTTACATTTTGATACTTAATTTCTAAAAGTTTGGATTTATTTTTAAACTGCTCAGACCCAGCCAAAGTTATTACAGCTTGATTGTCTACACATATTTGAACTGGATAATCACATTGTATATCTAAATCATTGAGAATTTGAACGAAAAAAATTATTTCATTACACAACTCTGATAAAGCACAGTATTCAGCCTCTGTTGAAGATGTGGCCACGATTCCTTGCTTTTTGGACTTCCAACCTATCAAGGAATCCCCAAATTGAAACACCATCGATTTTCTATCAGGCAGGTTGGGTTTTGCCTTTAAATAAATCCCATACGAAGAGCTACAGGGGAGAGTCTCCTGGCACCACCAAGGGCAGTCTTTTTCACCTGCTTGCCCCACCCCATGCGAGGTTGGGGTGGGTGGGTGTTTTCGTTGATATTTGGCTGTTTTGTACTTTGTTGTTAGGCGTCTTCAGTGCTCATTAACACAGAATGCGGCAGCTAGACTGGGAACTGGAAGCAGCCACCGGGACCAGGGGCAGAGGAAGGGTGTGTGGTGGTGGGGGGTCTGCCCCGGGTGTCACCACTGAGGGGTGACAAAATGCCAGGCGGCCCTCACCGTGGGGCTTGCAGAGCCACGTGTCCTTCCTGGGAGTGACGCAATGGCTTGGGTGCTTGCAGGCTCTGCGCTGCCCCAAACTGCCCACCCGCTGCCACCTCCCCCTCAGCTGTGGGGCGGCTGAGTGTGAGAAGGCAGGCAGACTCCTCAGAAGCCTCATGGAGCAACCTGCCCCAGCTCACCCCGCCCCACAGGTGGCTGGCTCCACCCCCTGGGCACTGCCCCAGGTGCCCGATCGGCTTGCTTTGCCACCGTCTGGAATCATAT